CAGAAAAACCTCCTCAGGTCTCAGACGTAACAAGGCAGCTAGGGCAGAGATACTCCAACAATGTGAGTCTATTACAGCTTTTCAGTTTTTTCCTTTCATTTATCAAAGGTGTTTGTGGCATCATAGGGCAAGCAGATTTTAAGATTGTACTTAAAATGCTGTCTTCTACTAATAATAAAGTTTAAAGGCGATTTAAATGTGAAATGCAAATCTGAACCCAAGTAGGGAGTCTTAAGTCTTTGAAGTAATGACCAGCTTAGTTACAAACTCTTCCTTAGGTACTCAGAGGCTTCCAGTTTCCCTGTGTGAAACCGCTTTTCAAAATGTTTGGATTTGACTCTGCCTTTGAGAAAAGTGTCTCTCAAACTGGGTGTGAGCTTCTTCCCTCCCTCCTGTCCTCTCTCTTTGCAAGGGCTCGGAATATGCCGGTTGTGAGAAGGAGGGAGGCTGAAAAGCAAGGCAGTAGAAACATGTTAGTGTAGCTCCAGGCTGTGGGTATGGTAGCTGGGACCAAGCAGAGCATCCTGTGTGCTCCATGCTGTGCTGCTTTAGGAGGAAGTTTCTGGGCCCTTATGTAAATCCTGTACACTTTTGCATGTTGGCATGCATACACTTGTAGGGTGCCACCTGCCAGGCACGGTTCTGTTATCCTCCCTGCCTTTATGTACATACGCACCCTGCCAAGTCTTCCACCTCCATCTTAAATTACTAAAAACATACGCACTAGTAACACCTTCTGCTTTTCTTACTCCTACGTAAATACGCATTCCTGTGAACATCTCACCCTACCTTAGCACCCCACCTCTCATAGACTTATGCCACTGTTTTCTATTAATCCACCTTCTCTGATATATATATATGAAAATGAATTCACATGTGCATACACCCATCTATAGATATATAAATGTACGTGTATCTATGTGCATATGTATACATATGTATGCAGACAAATGTATCCATATTCCTAGCTTTGTGTAACTAAAACTGAAAGGGAAGATGAATGTAGAGATAGAGACTATGAGTGTCTTAAAATGTAAGCTGTCATCCATAATGAGTGCACCTGTAAAATGAAGCAGTAGATGTGCTGAATGGACAGATAAAAAGGCTGTTTACAGACATGTACATAGAACAACTCTCTGTGAAACATGCATTGAATGAATAGAGTAGCAATCAGAGGGAACTGATCTTGTTTGTGCAGCATATACATACAACAGATATATCTGTATGCTAGACTTTTAGAAAAAGAAAAAAGGGACTTATTGAAAACCAGTTTGAGAACGGCTGCTATTCAAATGTAGCCAAGTCTTATTTTGAATCAGGTATACTAAAAGACTTCTAAACAATAAACTACCAAATGTCCATGGTTTTCAGATCTTAAAAGAAATGAACAGGTCTCTATCAGTCTGTCATACTTATGTGATGTTATTGTGGCAACCAAAAGCTATATTTTTAATATTTTCGTTTTCACAACACCCATCTTCAAGCAGTAAACTTATTCTAGTCTTACAAATGGGGAACCAGTTCGGAGATGGTCACTAGCCCAAGGGCACACTGGAAGTTATAGATGGTTGAATCAAAAACTTGCACTGTTCAACATATCGCTGCCCTACACCCCACAGAAGCTATCCTTAAGGCGGAAGGCAGCACTGTAGCAAGCAGGATTGGATTAGTTTAGATTCTTGAAATATATAGAACTGTTACATAGGATGTATTGTACTCCCTTTCTTAACTGATTACATGAAATGATAGACTCTATTATAAAATACTTCTTTCTAAATAATCGGGTTAGTATTGTTTTTGTAAATTGTACTATAAATTACTTGTTTTTTCCTCATGCTTCACACACTTAGTCATTGAACTCTTTTAGGAGTTTACAGTGTTGAATCAATTGTAATTCTTTTATCCTTTCAGTTGCTCCACTTTGTTTTCTGTACCATGAACCTTCCAAATTGTATCAGATATTCCGTGAGATGTATGTGCGTTTTTTCTTCAGACTCCATTCCATCTCTTCTCATCCCTCTGTAAGTTCATTACAAATTAAAACCCACTCCCTTGATATTCTATTTGCTATGGAACAATAATATACAGTGGCATGATTTTCTGTGTGATTGAAATATATCCTTTTAAATATAATGAAATATTTCAGAAATGCTTGGAAAAATTATTAGGTAACTCCAGTTTGGTTATTTTTCTTCGTCAATGTTAGTCTTTGCTATAGAAAATAATGTACTTTAGTATAACACAGCTCTCATTTAATGAGGGTGTGGGGGTTTTTTTTGAGTCAAGTCTTTTATATAATAGATGTCTCAGTTCAAAAGGTCACTTAAATGCCTACTCACTTCCATTTTAATTGATGACATGTAAGTGCACACAAGTATTTTCTGGGGTAGAGGGACTGAAATATAGTCATATACATACTGATATTGTTTCAATGATATTGAGTTAATGTCTATTTCTTTAACTCAAGTATCTTGTGTGACAGCATGTGCTTTTTAGCACTACTAGATGAATTTAAATGATCTGATTATGTTTATGACCAGGACCAGCTGTCTTGAATGCAAGACAGTTGTAAAAATGTAAGACAATTGTGGAAACTGGCTTATCTTCTCTTTTTTAAGAATAAAACATAGTAAATATATTTTTTTTTCTCCTTCACAAAGGGCCAAATAGTTATATAACTTTTTGAAACCATTTTCTGGTTAAGAGAAAATCCTTTCCTCAATACACCAATTCAAGGCTGTGCATTGTGCTTTCAGTCATTAATAGCAGGGAAACAGGTCAAATAGGAATCTATTAATTTTCATGGTAATTTTTAAAAGAAATTTTAAAATGTGTTTACATTTAACTTTTTTTGTAGTTACCCCATTGCTGCTTGGTTTTAGTTATCAGAGGGATACTATTTCACACATCCTCTGTTTTTTAGTGCAACTGAGGTCTATTTCATCAAAGTGGAAATATTTCAAGTAGGTCATGTTATAATAACCCACTAAGTACTTAGACCCTGACATACAAATACCATAAGTAACCTGGAGCCAAAAGGGACTGTCACAACATATAGTGCTGCTAACGCATACATAGAATTGTAGGAACAAGGCTTTAGTGACTGAAGGCATTAGAGCTGCTTGTGCCCTGCTTACCTGAGCTGTATATTATATTGAATTAAAAATTCATGCATGCTTACATGCTGATACTGTTTTCTGAGATTTGACAGGATAAGTGTTAGTATTCAGGATATGATCTTGTTTCATTAGGGCATTGTATCGTTGTGTTTGCTGTTTGAGACTCTTCTACAAACCCATCTGCCCCAGCTCTTTTATCACCTTCGAGAAATTGGGGCTCAGCCGTAAGTATTTCTTTCTGACTTGCTACAAATGTTGCAGATTCATGTTCTGAAAACGCTATTCTGTAGTACTTCAATTTAAAAGATGTGGGAAATTATTCAAAAGTGCAAACATCAATGTGCGATTTTCCTTGAAAGTCAGTTGTAGTCCTTTGTCTAACCTGCATATATGTCCTTTGTACATTTCTTCTGTACATTCTATGAAAGGAAAATTGCTCTATGAGAAAAGCTGCCTTGTTCAGCTAAGCTTCAGTTATTCATGCCAGATCTGATAGAACGAAATGATTTATTTCCTAGGGGACAGAAGACAGAGATATGTTAGTTGCAGCAGAAGCTATTGGAAGGGGGGAGAGAGCAAGAGCCTGTTGTTCTGTAGTGTACTCATGGCACCAAGTGCAATAGAACCTGAAAGTCTTGCTGTTATAATTGGTATCCATCATAATAGCATAATAGCAGAAAGGATGAAACGTGGGGAGTGATAATAGGTGAGGATCCCTCTAATGTGATAGTTTAGGCAGAATATTTTAATGATATAGTATTTTGTCAAATGAGATGCTAGTTTTCTGATGGCTGTTGCAAAGGAAAATATTGATTATTAATGCAGCAAGAGAAAATGGCTATTCTTCCTGGAAGAGAAAGGCAGAAGAATTGAAACATTTTCAGTTTATAGAGTATCTGTCTGATCATTATGGGAAACAAGAAATGCAATAACTGTTGTTTATCACTTGTTTGCAGGCTACGAATTTCATTTAAATGGATGGTACGAGCATTTTCTGGTTATTTAGCTACAGATCAGCTCTTGCTTCTCTGGGACAGAATCTTGGGATACAACTCTCTAGAAATTCTTGCTGGTAATAGAATTATTTTTACAGAATGTGTTAAGTCGAGGTGGATGTAAGGCAAATACATGTTAGCTTCGCTGTATTTTGTGACAAGAAGAAAATAGTTGTTCTTTGAATGCTGAAAGCAGATTACGAGCATGTCAGAGAGTATAACTTTTAGAAAACTAGAATTGCATAAATACTGCATCTCTACCAAAAATATGTAAGGTAATTTTTTTTTATGATGGCGCTCCAAAAATGCTAAGCACTCTTGGAAGAGAACATAGGATGTTCTCCCAGCTTTGGTGGTAACAATAAAAGATTTCATCACCTTTCACAAAATACAAGACTCATGTTACTCATTTATGGCAAGTTCTTCTTCAGTACTTACAGCAACTGAGAGTTCCCCTGATTTTGCTGGATTTCTGCTTTCAAAGTCCCATCTTTTAAGAGACTTTGAAAGTTTTATACTTATTTTTTATAAAGGAAATAGTGTCCTAAAATTTACACAAGGTTTAAGATGAGGGTTCTAAAGAAGACATGTATCTTCGGTTGGGTCAGTTTTTAAATATGAAGTAGGTGAATAGAAGAGAAAAGGTTTATGATTCCATTTTTACGTATACGACAGCTATGGAGAGAGATATAATTATATAAAATAGTACAAAATAAATGAATTTTTGTAATGTTCTATAATATTCACAACTGGAATACTGCTATTTAAATAAATTAAAATTGTTGGCTTAGAAATGAACTAATTGTAAATCACTTTGTCCCTTCTAATTAAAAGCTAGTCATCTTAAACTCAAGCATTTTCACTAAGACTTTTCTGTAAAAATGTTGTGTTTTTTCTATCCATTTTAATGAGTGGCCAAAGAAACTCAAACGCAGCCGTGTGTTGTATATTACTCTTCAGAATCAAAATAATTGCTCTAAGGGAGTGAGAATTGATATTTTATAACAAGATAACTCTAACCACTAATTAACTGGTCAGCAACTTAAATATTGGGCATTTTCTTTCAGTCCTGGCAGCTGCTGTGTTTGCTTTCCGAGCAGTCAACCTGATGGAGGTGACATCACTGGCTGCAGCTGAGGTAAGGATAAGTTTCAGTTAGAGGAGATGATTGAAATAGTTTCCGATGCTTTGCCAACAAGCGTAACTTAAACCTCACATGGCACGTGGTACATCGTGCAAATCTTTCTGCCTAAATTCTTGCCTTAGATAAAAAACTAATGAAATTGTGAACATGCAGTACATATTACTGCTTTTCTGCAGTAAAAGGAAATAAAAGGGTATATTTGCTAAAAAAAAATGCAGTGTTACCAAATTATTTTGTACAGCTAGATTTTTCTCTGTTTTAATATACAATCTGTGTTTGTGGGATATATTGTTTTTAAAATACTGTAGAGATTTGTACATTTTTTTACATTACTATATTTTAATGTAGTTGCTTTTGTGCTTTTTGATATTACAAAGATTTTACAAGATGTCTTTTGTCAATGTTGAATCTGAAATTTCACTGTGAGTACTGTCATGGGAAATTAGAAAATTAAGTTAAGATGAAAATTATTATTGTTTATCTCTAGTAATTTGTTAAAATATTTTTTTTCCCAAAAATCTGGTGATGTATTTTTTCAAACTTTGGGAGCTTGTGATGACTCTCTTTTTATTTTTTTTTAAACATACGTTCATGAGAAGACATTGACTATTTGCGTCATTGCATTGGACTTACTTCACAAGTACTAGCCAAGCCACAGGATAAGGATTCTTAATTCCCAGTTATTTTTAGAAGCAAGTTGAAATGTTAGACCCCTTATTCACCCATGATGCCATGTATATTTGAAGTCAGGCTAACTGCTAAAAAAAAGTTACTTGGTTTATATACATAAACATACGCTTTTTCTTTGAAATGTTAGAATGAGAAATAATACAATAAGGCACTAACATAAACCAGCACAATTTGTTTCTAGCCAGGTCTGAATCTAATTATTGTTAGTATTGTTGTCAGTATTTGAATCTTTTTCTGACTTACTGACTTGCTTTATAGCAGTTTGATTCAAATGTCAAGTTTAACAAGCCTTTTTGGTTTTTATCCTAGGCTGTACTTGCTGACCTTTCAACCCTGAAAGTTATGCCTCTTCTTCAGATCTTCTTATTTGCTACTGTCACTTGATCTGCTTCAACAATACTGGTACCACAATTCTGGTCTGTCTTGAGAAGCTAATCAACTATGCAATGTCTGCATAAAACCAAAATAAAACTGTATGTATGGTATTAATGTAGAAATCATGACCTTAAAATTTTCTAACTGAAAACCATGACTTTGCACACGAGTGTGTGCAGTGCATGCTACTGAATTTCACCGTAACAGCAATGGTTGTTACTTGTACATTGAGAATTACTGCTTGTGCAAATGAACAATATGAATTGGTGTCTAAAATGCATGAGATATTCAGTTAAATAAAGTAAATGTAATTCGTTATCTGAGTTTTGTGATGTTAATGTGGGAGTTGTTAAAGCTCTCTTTTAATATGAAATGACTTTTTCAAGCTCACAGCTTAGAGGATATCAGCTCAAATCTGTCAATTGAGAAAATAAAGATACTTTAACTTGCAAGAATTTTTTCTCGTTTTCTAAGAAAAAGACAGGATCACACACCAGTTCTCCTATCTCTATCTTATTTATTCTCTTCACGGAACTTTTCTCCATGTTCTTTCTCACGTTAGCTGCTTCCGTTTATTCTTTTCATCTACAGTGATGTAGTCATGCATCCCCCATTCATCTTTGGTTAGGTGTACAGCTGTCTCGGGCATCTTCTAAACTCCTGTCCAGAGTTCGCTCGAAGGCCCCGTGTTGTAAAATACGCTCCCCTGCAGAGAAGGCCTGAGCATAGCTTCCTTCAGAGCTTGTTGGAGCCAGTCCTTGCATGAGCCAAAATATTCCCCTGAGAACGATGCCAAGAGTCCTTTCGCTTGTGCCGCACACCCGCTTTGGGAGAGCAGTGCTACGCCTTTGCCAGCTTTTCAGCCTGTCTGATTCAACAGCTCAGGCTTCAGTTCAGAATCCAAGCTCATACTGGTGTGTGACGGATTGTCACTACGCTGTCAGGCTGGCTCATTGTCTGTTAGTGATCATACCTTTTTGTAGGTCTTCCAGCTTTTTCCACTGATTGTTTAATACCAGAATTAGAGTCAATAATCTGATTTGATTAAGCATCTCTTAATACCTGAAAAAGGATCAAAGTCAAAAGAAATTGATGGATAATATAGCCTCTGCCTTTGCCACAGGACTTTTGTCTTTGCCTAATTAACATACATGTAGCTGGTATCATTTGTCATACATACTGAATGTATGGCAGTTAAACATGAATCCTTCATAGTTTGCTCAAAAGTTACCTGAAAAGTGCAGCCTCAGATAGGGTTATGAGCTTTCTGTCTGTGATTCTTGTTGTCTCTGTCAGGATAATGTTAAGACACTTACTGAACTTTTACAGACTGCTAGTACATTTTTAAGGCTAATTTTTAAAAAGGAAGAGTTGTGGACTCGGTATGATCACTTCTTGTATAAAGAACCAAACTGCTTCACAGATATGATGTATTGAATGGGAATATTTGGGGAAATTTTGTTTTTCGTAATATTTGCATGAAATAATTTTAACTGTTTAACTAGAGGCTTTTCTATGACTAGAGGAGACATGTGACAGCTTTTATCTTCACAGCAAGTATTACCCTGGTTTATACCTGGTGAATGGAGGCATAGAAAGATCAACTGATTTGCAAAAGATTATAGAGTAAATTCCTAAAAGAGGTGAGCAGTCTCTCCTCTCCTCAATTCCTGTCTATATTTCAGGATGCTTTGTTTGTGTATTAACCACAAGACCTTATTTCATCTTCAGAACAACATATAATGTGCATCTACCTCTAAGAATGCAGCATTTTGTAGTTTTTAAAATCTGTAAGATTGAGTAGCAATTTAGAAATTATAATGTTACAAAGCAGTCACAAGGGTTGTGGCTCAGTAAGGTCATTACAAGGTTACTATGGCTTTTTAGGGAATTAAAAGTATTTACTAAATAGCAAGGGAGATTCTCTAGAGGCCTGCTGACCCTCTAATTCCCATCGCTCTGTGCAAGTACACGGTGCAGAGTCTGAACACTTACCTAACCCATTCCATGTTGGGATTTTTGAGCAGTGTTTTTTCTCTTCATTTTTGGTAGTTTTGAAAATGTTATAAATATGCAGAGATAGAGACTGTTGGGTTCTTGTTTGAACAAACTGAATATGGTCTGTTTTCATCTGACTTGGCAACTTGTTATTCATGCTAACAATCTCGCATCTACCTTGTGTCCCCTCTGCCTTCCCCACTGGAGTACTTAAACTCCTCTTCCTGACCGCCACCCTCATTTCCCCTGATGGCTGGACAAGGGGACCTTACGCTCTGCAGCTACTGTGGACCAACACGTGTCTTTGGCTGGACGACTCGTCCTGACTGCCCAGGCTGGCTGCTCTGTGAGCCTGGGGTGACGCCGTGCCTCTTACTTCAGGGTTGGCCAAAGGATTCATGGACTGCGAGCAGCCCTTGAGCCGGGTATCGTACAGACGAGCTGTAGCAGCAAATCCCTTGCAGACCTCTGCTGCCTTCTGTCAGATGCTTGGCTTTTTTGAGACATGGAAAGATGCTTATGCACACAGAGACACATGTATACAGCAATAATGAGTATAATTGCTTTAAAAATGAGATTAAGATGACATTAAAAATGGTTCAGATCCTCTCCTTAGACTTCAACTATACCGTTAGATTTTTATATCTTTTTTAAAATGTATTTTAAAAAATTGCTTTACTGAAGAGATATTGTTTTCATGTTCCCCTCAGTTTCTCATTTCAGTTCCAACAAAATATTGTGTTTCAGATTCTGGCTGATACTTGTATTTTTAATCTCCCTTGCTTAAATAACACTCCTTCATTTCAAATATGTTTTTAAAATATTAAAAAGACTGGCTTCTATCTTACAGCTAGATACTTCTCTTTTGTACGTAGGTAGTATCAATTATTTAAGTTTTAATTCTTTACCTTTAGAGACCAGGTCAAACCTCTCAATGTCTGTAATCTGTCATTGACTTCCAAATTCCTAAAACTCCTTTTTCATTTTTGTTGTTTTAAGTAATGGCCAGATTTTGATAGTAGAATTGTATCTAAATTGGTAATTACATTAATTTAAACAAGCTCAGCTTCAATGGCTCAATTTAGCCAAATTGTTTTCCTTGGTCTGTTCCTCCCTATCTGAAATCAGTGAAAACAGACATTTCAGTACAAGAACCAGTTGTCTCCATATTTATAGATAAAGATCAATTTTTTTTTGCTGCTTACTTTAGGGTTCTGGATACGGTCTGTCAAAGGTTTCTTGTAATGTGAAATAGACCATTTAAAAAACCCAAAAGTAAATAGGCTTGTCTAAAAATGTGCCCAAGTTATCTTTGTTCAGTACTTCCAAAAATATATTGAAACTTAGATCTTGATGGCTGGTTAATGGAACAATTGAATAACTGGAACAGTTTCTACTTCTTAGTGGAATTTTTTTGTCATAGTAACAAATTTTATTATGAGAAATGGAGAGAGTATGGAGACTGTAAAACAGTCAGATATCCCAGTAAAGGGAAAAGGCTGGAAATAGACACCAGTCTAAGACACATTTCTACTTGTTACCAGAAACCAGCAAAAAAATACGCCCAAGAATATGCCTCTTTTACTGTCTTCCAATGAATTTTATACAATTCTTCCAACAAGACTGAAGGAAATTCATTAAACACAATTGCTGTATGAAGGTCAGTTAGGCGAAAGCAATCTAGCTGAGCCACTTATTAATGCTGAATAAACACTCATTTAAAATATACTGAAATATATTGCAAAACTGTAGGGCTGCATCTTCAGTGAGGAAGGGAAAGCGCCTTTTGGCATATTTTAACAAATTGGTGTAATATTCTGTCTGGTATTTTGTGTGAGGAAACAGGGGAGGGAGGGGGAGGATGCAGCAGGGGTGGCAGGAGGTGCTGAGCTCTTCCCTTTCCCTCCTTTCCTAAAGGCTGTTCCTGTCCATGGCTGGCTGCTGGCAGATGCTGCTGCTCCGGCTGCTCTCAGCCCCAAAGCCACACAGGAAAGGCAATCAGCTGAAGCACGCGTTTGCGATCAACAGAGCTTTGTGTTTTGTACGGCCAGGCTTCCTCCGGCCCGAAAAGCTCGCTTGGTGTGCAGCTGCTGGGCAGGGGAAGGCAGCAGGGCCAGGGCCAGCTGGGGGGACTAGCCAGCCTTCCTGTCCTCCTGGGTACCACCAGCAGGAGAAACCACCCCTGTGAATAATTCCCCCTCCAGACAGCCATATTAACGACACTGGGTTTCAGAAGAAGTGCTGAAGGACAACTGTGGTGGGGTTGGTTTGGGGTTTTACAGCTTTAGAACCTAGTACAGGAGGGGGAAAATACCCCTTCTGGAGGCTTCAGGCTTTTAGCACAAGGCCACGCTTGTTGTGACAGACTGCAGGTCTGTGAGCAGTTCTGCGAGAACCATTTATTACAGTAAATAACTACAGAATAATCCCAAATGTCTAGAACCCAGAATGAGCTGTGCTGATAATTGAAATCACTGAAGGAATTATTTTTTTCCTGCACACTTCATGCTCAGCTTTTTCAATACCTTAACAAAACTGTTAATGCAGGAATGATCATTTTGATCCAACAGTGTAACAGTTGTGCTCTGCTTTAAAACAGTGTTAAAATGTCTCATCTTAGTATTTTTTTAATTAGGCAATTAGTAGTTTACCTACCAAATGATGGCCATACAGACCAATTATACTTTTGAGAAGCATCTTGGGATGCTTGTGTCTTCTGTGGCAACAGAAGTCAGCAGATGTTAATGGGGATAGAATGAATACATGGTTAGAACAGGATGTTCATCTTGGGTTCACCACGCTTTTTAAGACTGCCACACACAAACCATTGTAAAGCAGTCTAACTGTGCTAAATACTGATGGGGGATCCGCCTTAAAATTAGTACAGAGGGAGAAATACTGCTTTTTAGCAAACCTTTTGGTTTTCTTTTTTTTTTTTTTTTCCGAATCTTTATTTAAGCCAGGGGGGTTCTCCTGATTGATTCCATGTATCGTCAGACATCACAGGTTACAGAAGGTGAACTTCAGGGTCTCTGAAGGAGGATGTAGTGGGGAATCTATTTGCTTGTATTTCAAAATCAGTGTGTTGTTCTAAACATTGGACTACTGATATATGCAAACAATTATCTTTACAGAATTGGCTTTATGGAGGACCATGGTGCTTTGCCAAATGACATTGTGTTTGGCTGAACAGTTTGAACAAATTGTTTCTTTTGGGATTATGACCAAAATAAATGGAATATTTAACATAGAAGTTAAAGCTCACAATTTGAGCAAGACAAAGCATGCGACCAACTTCTGTGCTTTGTTTTAAAC